CAAGTAGTCTCATTGAGTCAAGAGGAATCGTTTTCAAGAAACCTGTTAGATGTACAGTATATCTGGCAAAACTGAATTGGAAACTGTTTCAAAGAGCTGGAGAAACTGGAGAGATTGAAAACTAGGACACAAAAACATGGAATGTTTACTGTTAACTGCTTTTAATTTGAAACAGTAAAAAAAACTATTTTTTTTTCATTATTTTTCAGGTAAAAATCTTTATTTAGTTTACATTTGTAATTATGAACGGCAGAATATTACACTTTCTTGAATCAAAAAAGGAAGATACCACTTGTAAAAAGATGCATATAAATTAATTCATTCGACCTTTATTTAGACAGGTTAATCCCACTGAGCCTCTGATTTTTTTTTTTTATAGTTTTATTTTAATTCATTTTCACAGTGCATGACAAACAAATGCATATTGATACACTGTAAAGAAATGATAAAGAAAAAGACAAGTTTCCATCAAGGACATTGATCAACACAATGAGTCATGCATATCAAGCTGTCAAGAAATTAACCATTTTTCCTTTTTTAATTTATTTTTTTCCCCACCATACCACTCCCACCCAACTTCCCCATATGTCTCTCGTTTACAAGGTAAATGTTCATTTATCATGTTTGCAGCTTGTATCTCTGACCATTAGCTCATATTAATACACATACACACACACATACATAGGTCCAACCGATGCAGTTACATAAAATATAATACAACTGGGTTACTTTTAAGCTCATCCAAAAGGTTTCATATCGCACCCTGATCAGCCAAGTCCAGAGATCGCAGTATTTCCATGAAGGGGCCCCAGATTGTCTCAAATGTTGCCCGTTTCCCTCTCACACTATAAAGAATCTTTTCAGGCTTCAGTAAAACACCAGCTCTTCTATCCATTGTCTTATTGATGGCAACCTTTCAGATTTCCAATTTTTAGAATACATTCTTTTTTGTTGATGTGCTTGCAAGTACAAAGTAGAATAAAGTATTTCTTATAATAATTTACCTTAAGAGTTGCTAAGTCTCCTAGAATTCACACTTTGGGATCATGTCCAATCTGATGTCCAACAACTCTTGAGGTTATTTCGATCATATGTTTCAAAAATTATTCCATTATTGGACAATACCACAGCATACAGTATGTAAGAGATCCCCATCAGCCACCTTGCATCTCTGGCATTTAGGGGAAATTTTGTTGTTTATTTTATGCAGCCTGTACGGAGTGTAATACGTCCTATGGAATATGTTCAATTGAATTTGCCTATGATTTGTGGAGATCAACATAATGTGTGCTTGTTCTAAATGGTGATTCCAGTCACCATCCTGATAAACATAACCAACGTCCATTTTCCATTTCTGTTTTTTTTCTGCTTGATATACGGGTAACCTTCCATTTATTATATCATATATAGAGGATGTTATTCTTTTTGTTGATCTGTCTAGTTTGTTACATAGGTGAGATACGAGGCAAGTTTCTTCTAGAGAGACCTGAATTTTAACAGATAATTATGACAACAGTGGACAATAGACAATCATAAAGGATGTGTACAAATTGAGAATAACAAGTGAAAATAAAATAGTATTTTAAAAAAGTAACAAAAAAAAACATCTAGGTTGTAAGGCGATGTAGAAAACTCAAAACAAGAGCATGTCTGCGTTGTTTTTTACCAAATGCAAAAAAAAAGCAACCTTTTAAAAGAGCCACATTAAAGTCTGAGCAACAGACAATAGATTATTGTTGATTAAAACAAATCCTGTTTAAAATGGACTGAAACTGGAAACACGTGATTATAGTTAAAACTTCAGAAAAGAAAAGTAATAAACCTGTAATTCATCACAAATCAGTAAATAATCATTGTAGTAACAATCAACTAAATAACTAAACAAGGTTGTTGTAAGCAATAAAATAAAATACATAAAAAAAGAATTTATCTCAATTTTGGACTTGTTTCAGAAATAATTGGTACTGTTAATAGATTCTTTGTGTAATACTTAAAATATTGTGAAAATAAACAAATGGCCTGATATCATTCATCATCTTTACCCACTTCTTCCTTTGTGGGACGCGGGGATCGCTGATGCCCATGTCCAGCAGTCACTGTGTGAGAGATGGGGGACACCTGGACAGGTCTCAGTCCATCACAGGGACACAGAGAGACAAACAACCATTCACTCTTTCACACCTAGGGGCAATTTATATTGGTGGGCGGTAACCAGAGTACCTGGAGAAAATCCATGCAGGCACGGAGAGAACATGCAAACTCCACCCAGAAAGGCCCCCGGACCGGGATTTGAACCAGGAACCTGCTCGCTGAGAGGCAGCAGCTCAACCAACTGCGCCACCGTGCTGTCATTGGCATGATATTTTATATGAAATATATTTTATCTCACAACTTTAACAATGGATCAACCATCAAATTATTGTTTTTTTATGATCCTAACAGAGCATGTGTCAAAATAAAGTGAACCTAAAACTGATGAATATTACATCATCAACAAATATAATAAAACTGTAATTTACAATGAATTGCATTTATCAATGTGATTATTTTTTTATTGTAGATTAAGAAGAATAACCTGATGCATGCTCAATAATCCAGGTAGAAAAATCTAAAAAAGTTAAATCTGGTCCTCTGGACATTCAAAAAAACAAAACAAAGCAAATCAACAAAAAAATGTAGAAATGTTTTGTCTCTCATCCGAGAGACTTCCTCAGTCTGAGGAGCTGTTTTCAGCTCAGTTTTGCTTTTTTAGATTTTTCTAGTTTGAGTATTTTCTTTCAGCCAGGTTTAGCTTTTTTTTTTTTTTCTACCTGGATTATTGAGCATGCATCAGGATATTTTGAACCACTTTGGCCAGGATTGCCTCAAACTAGTTAGAGAGTTTGAGAAAACAGCAAGGAAGAAGGCAGACTACAGGAACCATTTGCGATTCAACCTCAGATGTCGACAAAGTGGCATCATTCCCAAGAGCCTGGAACTAAAATCTTCAGTCAGCGGGCACCGGGCAAGCAAGATCCTTCAGAAGGCACAGACCCAGCTGCTGAATGAACGGGTGAGACAGACCAATTTTACTATTGAGGCCTTGAAGGCCAAAGAAGAGCACATTAAACAGAAACTAACAACGTGTCTAGATCAGACCACACTTCAGCAAGTGTTGGACTGTACAGATCAGGCACGCTTAGCACAGCATGTCAAGTCCAAGACTCGACAACAAAACAAGTTTAACTTACTAATAACTCAAAGAAACTCAAGAGTGAGAGTGCACGTCATCGTGAAGGTGTACGTTTTAACAGAGTCGTGTTTGGAGCGAATGCTCGGATCCATCAGACGAGCGGACTCCATCAGACTGATGAAGTCCTCTGGATAGAGGGCGAAACGTCTCTATAAAAAAGAGACTGTCCAGATGACCTGACTGAGAATTATTGGATTTGACACCTGGATGATTGAGCATGAACTTTGTTGTCACTGAGGGCAGTTTCACAGAGCCAAATGAAGGAGAGGTTCTGGTTCTGGTTCTGGTTCTGGTGTGACAGGACACCCAGCTTCTGTCTCTAAAAAGACATTTCTGTAAAACATCATGTGAAGTGCCTTGACTGGACTTTTCTTTTAGATTAAATCATGACCAGAACTGTTCATGAAACATTCAGAAAGTTCTATAAATCACATCAGACCACAGTCTGCACAAAGTTAAATCTTAAAAAATGTATTTATAAAGAAAATGCTAAGAGCTAAACAAAGATGTCTCTGGGCTCGACAGATATTTCACAGATCATATGAAATATTTGAACCTGAAAATAAAATTTAAACAGGATTTGTTTTAAACATTAGCTGGAGTCATAAACAAAGACTGGTCAACATTGTGTCCTGATTAAAACCAGGTGAACACAAGACGTACAGTTTCTGTCAGTAAATGAATTCAAACCATCAGTAAATAGATCCATGATGTAATCCCAACAGTCGGTCTTTATACGAGTGATAAAATCAGACCAGTTTATTTAAAGTCAAACATCTGGATCTTTACAGCTCTGTGTAAACGCTCCAGTCAAGTTCTTGGTTAATTCTCAGCAGAAACATAAAGAGTCTGTTCTTTCAGGTTTTTATTTCCTGAGTCCGATGAGAACAAGAACGTCTTTGGACACACACTGAGGCTGTCAGGAGGTCAGAGGCAGGTGGAAGGTGAAGATCTCGTCTGCACGACAGAAACGTGCAACAAACAACCACATGTGAGCACAGCTGCGTGATCAATGTCTGAGAGTCATGAAGGTTGGGGATATTTGAAGATCCAGAAGATAAAAAGGATCATTAGGAGGTGGTACAGTATCGTACAACATATTTTTGTTTTATTGATTTCAATTCTTCCTCTTTTTCTCTCTTTGACTTGTCCAAGTTTTTCATTTCTTCTTCTTTTTCTTCAATTGTTTTCCTCATTTTGTTTTTGGCTTCAGTTTCATGTTGTAGTTTTTGTTTTTTATCTGCTACATCAGCTTCCAGCTCCTGTTCTCTCTGCTGCTTTAGATCAAGTTCTTTCTTGTGTTTCTTCTTGAACTCATTAAACTCTTTATCTTTTTCTCTCTTTAATTTGCCCAAGTTTTTTATTTCTTCTTCTTTTTCTTTAATTGATTTCTTTATTTTGTTTTTGGCTTGAATTTCATGTTGTAGTTTTTGTTTTTTATCTGCTACATCAGCTTCCAGCTCCTGTTCTCTCTGCTGCTTTAGATCAAGTTCTTCCTTGTGTTTCTTCTTGAACTCATTAAACTCTTCAGCTTGTTTTCTGGCCTCCTCTTCATGTTTCTTCTTCATGTCCTCCATTTTTCGCTGATAGTTTTCCTCTATCTCCTTTCTCTCCTTCTCCTCTTCTTCTCTTCTTTTCTTCTCTTCTTCTCTTCTTTTCTTTTCATATTCTTTTCTTTCTTTCTCAAAATCTTCTTGAAGCTTTTTCAGTTTTATTTGCTCCTCTTTTTGTCTCTTTTCATCCTCACCCTGTCGTTTTTCCCACCACTCTTTTCTTTCCTTTTCTCTTTCTTCTCGTTTTTCTTCCATCTCTTTCCTCATCTTCTTCAGTTTTCTGTCGACGACCTCCTTTTCTTCTGATTCTGATTTGATTGTTTTCTCCAAAGCTTCTCGTGTTCGCTCCCACTCTTTCTGTTGTCGTTCTTCTTCCTCTTTTCTTTTCTTCTCTTCTTCTTCTCGTCTTTTCTGTTCTCTCTCTCTCTGCTCTCGCTCCTTCTGGATGTTTTCTTCCATTTCTTTAAGTTGCTTTGCTTTCAGGTTTTTCTCCTTTTCCATTTCTGCTCTCTGTTCCTCCATTCTTTTTCTCAGTTTTTCTTTTTCTTCCTCATGTTTTCTTTCAAGCTCCTCCTTCTGTTTTATCATCTCTTCCTTTTCCTTCAGGATTCTCTGCATCTCTTTCTGTATCGCAGCTTCAGCTTCCTGCAGCATCTCATTAGTGAAGCAGCTGCCTCCGTTCTCCTTGACCATGGAGTCGATCTTCTTTATCAACTCACTGACTTGTGTCTGATTATTTTCAGAACAGTTATTGAACACGTGGTATCTTCTTCCACAGTCAGAGATCAGCTTCTTAAAGGAATCATCACATGTTTCCACGTACTGTTCAATAGTTTTACCCACACGTTCTAGATCATCTCCTCTTGTGAAAAGAATAATGGTGTATAACTGAGAATTTTTACCAAAAACTTTCTTGATGAGTTCAAGTGTCTCCTTCTCCTCTCTTGTGAATCTACCAAACTGATACACCAACAGGAAGACATGTGGACCTGGAGCCAGAAGGCTGATACATTTCACCAGCTCCTCATTAATCTCCTCATTGGACAAACTGTTGTCAAACAGACCAGGAGTGTCAACAACAAAAACTGAGCGACCGTCAACCTCAGTCTGGGCTTTCTGGCAGCTCCTAGTTACTGACTGTTGGGAGAATTCAGCTTGAAACTCGTTTCTTCCCAGAATGGTGTTTCCTGATGAACTCTTTCCACTGCCAGTCTTCCCGATCAGAACAATCCTGAGGCTGTCTGGACCCTGGATCTGTTCACCATCTGAGAAATTAAATTAAAATTTGATTTAGTTAAAAATGAAAGAATAATAAAATGTATATACACACAGACATACATATATATATATAACTATATATATATA